CCAAGACAATCCTAAGTAAAAAGAACAAAGCTGGAGGCATCATGCTACCTGACTTCAAATTACTGATTACAAGGCTACTGTAATCAAAACAGCATGGTACTGGTACCAAAATAGAGGTCTCAGAACACCACACAACTACTACAATCTGATCTTTGACAAACCTGACAAAACCAAGCAATGGGGAAAGGACTCCCTATTTAATAAATGGTATTGGAAAAACTAGCTAGCCATATGCAGAAAGCTGACAATGGACCCCTAAGTGAACTCCGGATGGATTAAAGATTTAAACATAAGACCTAACACCATAAAAACCCTAGAAGAAAACCTAGGCAATACCATTCAGGATATAGGTATGGGCAAGGACTTCATGACTAAAACACTAAAAGCAATGGCAACAAAAGCCAAAATAGACAAATGGGATCTAAGTAAACTTGATAGCTTCTTTTGCTGTGCAGAAGCTCTTATTAGAGTGAACTGGCAACAAACAGAATGGAAACAAATTTTTGCAATCTACCCATCTGACAAAGGGCTAATATCCAGAATATACAAAGAACTTAAACAAATTTACAAGAAAAAAACAACCCCATCAAAAAGTGGGCAAAGAATATGAACAGATGCTTTTGAAAAGAAGACATTTATGCAGCCAACAAACATTTGAAAAAACCTCATCATCACTGGTCATTAGAGAAATGCAAATCAAAATCACATTGAGATACCATCTCATGCCAGTTAGAATGGCAATCATTAAAAAATCAGGAGACATGGAGAGGATGTAGAGAAATAGGAAGGCTTTTACACTGTTGGTGTGAATGTAAATTAATCAAACCATTGTGGAAGACAGTGTGGCGATTCCTCAAGGATCTAGAACCAGAAATGCCATTTGACCCAGCAGTCTCATTACTGGGTATATGCCCAAAGGATTATAAATCATTCTATTATAAGGAGACATGCGCATATATGTTTATTGCAGCACTGTTCACAATAGCAAAGACTTAGAACCAACCCAAATGCCCACCAATGATAGAACGGATAAAGAAAATGTCGCACATATACACTATGGAATACTATGCAGCCATAAAAAAGATGGGTTCATATCCTTTGCAAGGACATGAATGAAGCTGGAAAGCATAATTCTCAGCAAACTGATACAAGAACAGAAAACCAAACACTGCATGTTCTCACTCATATGTGGTTGTTAAACAATGAGAACACATGGACTCAGGGAAGGGAACATCACACATCCGGGGGGGCCTCTGGGATGAGGGTTAAGGGAGGAATTGCAGGGAGTGGGTTATTGGGGAGGGCTATCATTAGGAGAAATACCTAACGTAGATGAAGGGGCGATAGATGCAGCAAACCACCACCATAGCACGTGTATACCTATGTAAACTGTACAATCTGCAAATCTGCACATGTACCCCAGAACTTAAAGTATAATAAATTTTTAAAAAGAGAACTAGATTTTCTCTAAAATACTGCCATCTCTAAAAATTCAATGGTTCTGTGATCCTTTAATTGTTCCCATACATCTTGATTTAGCACTCAAGTGTTTATTTAGGGAGTTTTAAATACTCATTTAACAGTGACAGGTTGATAATCACTGAAAATGCAATCTATGGCCAGGTGCACTGGCTCATGCCTGTAATCCCAGCACTTTGGGAGGCCAAGCAGATGGATCACTTGAGGTTAGGAGTTTGACACCAGTCTGGCCAACATGGCAAGCTCATGTGCTGAATAGCATATATAGTATTCTGATATCTTTGTGGTTAGTTGAAAACAATCAACAATTGATGAACATAAGTGGGAAAAAAGGTAAAATGGCTGAGTAAGCATTAGACTATAAATCTAAAGACAGAGTTCAAGGCCTCTTTTTACCCATCTTTACAAAAAATACAAAAAATTAGCCAGGTGCCTGGTGCATGCCACTTGGGTGGCTGAGGTACAAGAATCGCTTGAACCCAGGAGGCAGAGGTTGCAGTGAGCTGAGCTCATGCCACTGCATTCCAGCCTGGCCAACAGAGCAAGATTCTGTCTTTAAAAAATAAAAATTAAAAATTAATTAAGAAAATACTATCTCAATATAATATGAGCTGTCATGTATTGTCTAAAGGCATTTCACAGCCATTTAAAAATCAGATTACATTTCTTCTGACAATTCTATTTCATTTTTACTTTTGTTTCTGCCTGAAGTTGCTGTGTATTATTTTGACTTTACAAATTCAATAGGGTGACTATTACAATACCAAATAAGCTAATATTTCAAATATATATTATATATATATATATATTTCTTTCATAATTGACAATGTATAGTTATAAAAATATTTAGTTTTGAAAATTTTATCTAATTACTATTGAAAGAATAAAATGATCTTCATATTCCCATATTACAAGTAGTCTAAAATTAAAACTTCTTTTTTTATAAGGTGGCTTTTTCACCAAAAGAATATAATTCACCATCTTCCAGACCAGAATATATAGAATTCAAACAAAAATTTCAGGTGAGTCCTGAATTATTCTATCCCAGTATCATTATAATTAGTTAGTAGATTTCTTCAATACTTTATGTAATTCAGTAGTTCTAAAAAGCTACTCATTTGAAACACATGGCTATCTTAAAAAATACACATTCCCAGGTCTACCTCTGACATAATGAATCTCAGCCTGGAAACAGAACCTGGGAATCTGTATTACTCAAAACAGAAAATAAAAACTAAGGGGATTCTTAATCTGCCATCTGGGTATCCACTAGAATTTGAAAACCAGTTATAATAAGTTACACCCATTAAAATTAATTTTGAACTACTAAGTTGAAATAAAATAAGACAAATACTAGGCTGATTATTTCACATTTTGCTTTTTTTAAGTTAGACAACACAGAAGTATGAACAAAGAGTTTCATTAAGGCTTTTTATTTTGAAGGCTATTTCAATGATAGAAGAGCCTGATCCCAGAGCTAAAAGACTGCTTATGTATATTACACTGAAATTTTACCATAATCCTGAGTTTTCTATATGGTTCTCCCTTATCCATTTCTGAGGCATTATACAGTATGCATCAAAAGCAAGATTCAATTGTGATATGTTAAGGACTGGGTGGAGCTCATTATCATTGTTGAAATTCTCAGATTTAAAGGCAGATGATATATGCCCCCAAGTCAGTTTTTAGAGAATATTTATGATATTTTTCATGGGCTTCATTTCAGTACTTTTCACTACTTGCCTGAATTTTTAAAAATATTTCCCACATTGCTGCAAAAATAGTAAATATTTAGGTAAATGAGACTTGGATCCTGAAGTTAGCCACTGTCTAAGGAAATAAAGCTAACACTAGAAATTCAGTTGTTGAAAATAAACTATTTATGGATGGCTTTTTAAGTATTTAAAAATATTCCAAGTAGCAAAAAGCACTTGGACACAAAATAGTGTCAGAATTAAGAATTTGAAATTTTTGCATTAAAATTTTGTTTTTTATCTCAATTTCAAATATTTTTAAATAATTAAAATTGGTTTTCTCCCTTTTTGAAGGGTAGGAAAGTAAATAGATACATTGACAGATTGCTCAACTAGAAAATGTATTATAAATTCAAAATCGTTGCTACTGAATGTCTTATCTTTTTTTTAATATTACAGTTTCAGAAATTCAGCAAGAAGTATTTTGAACATTTTCTAAGGAATATAGAAAAAGAAATGTCAGTCAGAAAAAGAAAAGATCAAGATATATGCAAATGTAGAAACATGTTAAGTGCAGAGGTTACAGAGCATGAAGACCAGGATCCACCTTATCCAGCACAATCAAAAACTGCAGAACCTGCTAATAGAACCTGGGCCCATGATCCTAGTATCTTCCCAACAAAGACGTTAGACACTGAGAGCAAGTTAGCCCATGACCCTACTATCAGCACAATAAAGGGTTTAGATACAAAGAATAGGTTAAAAGAAAATCTACCAAACACGTCTTTACAAAGCTTCAAAGGAGAATCATCAAGGACTGGAAATGTACATGCAAATACATGTCACCTCTCGAAGTCTTTAAATTTTACCCCCCATATAGAATATTTAAAACAATCAATGCAACTCAAGGCAATTTTAAGTAAAAATCTGCAAGACCTTTCAGACAAATTATTTTCTAAACCAGAGGTCAGTATGAACACCGAAGCTAGAGAGAAAAGTAGTTCTCCACTTCTAAGCATTCACAATAAATTATCAAGTAGTATGGAAGACAAAACATTGGGAAAAAACAAAGATTTAAACAACTGGCTTTCAGAAAAAGACATTTTAAATTCAAAGGCTACTTTAAGTCAAATAATTAGAAATATTCCTGCAGATTCATTTTCAGAAGGTAGTCAAATAATTGAAAATATTCTTGCAGATTCACTTTCAGAAGGTGGTCAAGTAATTAAAAACATTCCTGAATATTCACTTACAGAAGGTAGTCAAATAATTGAAAATATTCTTGCAGATTCACTTTCAGAAGGTGGTCAAGTAATTAAAAACATTCCTGAATATTCACTTTCAGAAGGTAGTCAAATAATTAAAAATATTCCTGCAGATTCATTTTCAAAAGGTAGACCAGGAAAATCTGCAGAGGTAGAAGAATATGTCTCTAAAAAACACTTTGAAGCTGATGAGAGAGATTTTCCAATTAAAAAAAAGAGTAGTATCAAAAAGAAACATTTAATAAATGAAGTATCTAACTCCAAATCAAGTTTAAGTGGCGTTGCACATGACTACATTATGAGGCAAATATTCACTGCACCAACATTCTCAGAATTGGAGATAGAAGTGAAAGAGCCAAATGAAACACCTATGAACTTGGAAAATCAATTACCTACACCTTGGAAGAGAAGTTTATCATCACATATTCTATTTCATGAAGAAAATGCTGATGAAATAGAATTCCCACAGCCCAGATCTGTTATAAGCCAAATAATACAAGCATTTCCTATAGATGCGCTTTTAGAATCTGGGATTATCAAAGTGATAGAATTAGATAAAGGACGCCATAAGAGTTCTTTGCTGGGTATGAGGATCGCTTCTCCTAAAGGAAAGCTGAAGGATTCCCAAAAGTATTTTTCAGAAATCAGAAGCGATACAGAACCTCTTTCAAAGCAGAATATATCCATCATTCCCAAAGACACTACTTCTGTTCATACAGCTAAATTTATACAGGAAGGCCAAAATATGTTCCCACAAGACTCAAGTTATTATTCAATAGCAAATAAAGAACCAGATGTGCCAAGAAATGGTCAGAGGCTTGGTAAAGATGATAATGATCTCCATTCTACTCTAGAAAGTTTAACTAGCTCATTAATGGATAAACATAGTGAATCAGATGCAATAATGTTAAAATCCTTTTTAAAAAACATCTTCAATATTTTTTTCAAATATATTCAATCTGAAAGAAGAGGACAACCAGAAAAAGAATTAGAAAGACTAATTCAACCTTTTACAAGTGACACAGAACACCTTGAAAAAATCCAAGATAATTTTGAAAAAGCAGACAAATTAGACAGAAAACCTATTTTGAGTCCAAAGCTGCATGTGTTTCTAGAAGAACTCTCAGAGTCAGAAATAAAAAATTTAAAATCTGAATTAAGTAAACAAATCCAGCATTACCTTGTAGAAAGACTTTCAGAATCAGGACATATCACCAAGGAGGACTTACCAAAAATCTATCAAAATCTCTATCTGATGAATGAGAAAGCAAACTGGAAAGGGCCAAACATTTTTCAGGGGAAATATTCTGAAGCTGTGAAAGAAATCATGTCTTTTGTCAACAATTTCAATCACCATTTCATAGATAAACATTTAGAAATAAAGTTAAGATCTTTTTTAAATAAGATTCTTCAAAACTATTTCCTGAAAACCATTTCAGAAAGCAGTTTATTTAATGAGACAGAATCTGAGACTATATACCCAAACATATCTTCTCTAAGTACTAAAAGTGCCTCAATATCTTTTCCCGAACTAGAACAAGATATTTCAAAGGGGAGTTTTGGTAGAAGGTTCGAAATAAATATGAAATATCCTTTAAGTAAACCTCTACAAAACTATCTGATAGCTTTATCAGAAAATGAATTATTAAATCTAAAAGCTGATTTAAGCAAACACCTCCAGAGACTTTTTATAGAAAAACTTTCAAAATCAGGACTAATGCCAAAAAGGCAATTAGAGGGGATCAGCCAGCATATAAATTTGCTTAATTCTAGTTCTACACCATTAAAATATATAAAGACACATTTACCTTTTAGATATGACAATCACTTTATGGAGAAGCATTCAGAAAAGCAAAATAAATATTCAAGAATTGTTCAACAAACCTCTTTACAAATGGTTTCTGAAGATAAACTTACAGAAATAGAATTGAGTGGAGAGAAAGAAAATAAATATTTTCCCTTACAGAATTTAAAAGAAAATTCACCTTTAATTAGGGAATGGAAAAGTTATTACCCTAAAGCAGCAGCTAAAACACCAAGTTTAATAAAAGTACAAGCTTCTTCCAATAAAAATATCCAGGCAAGTCCATTAAATAAGTCATCAGAAATACTTACAGATATAGTACTTAAGAAACTAAGGAAAGAACATGGTTTCACGCAGCTTCCTCAAGGAGAAAATTCTGTTCATAAAACAGAGATTCAAGACCCATATAGTTGGGGTGGTAAATCAAAAATAACTCAATCAAAAGCTTGGTGTGAAAGGACACTGAAAATGAAGTCCCTTGATAGAAAGGAGTATATAAACATCTGTAAATGGACTGTTCAGGAAAAACCTGAAGCAGTATTAACATCGTATCCAAGAATTCCTAACAGCAGAATGCCAAGGGAAGATAACTACTTAAACAGACTCACTGTCCCTTCCTGGCAAACTAGCACCTTAACTCATTTCAATTCAGAGACGGGGGAGAAATTAAAATTAGAAGACCAGTATTGTCAGAGATTGAAAGGAAATAATAACAATAATAAAAAACACATAGTAACATTTGCACAATACGAAAAAGAAATACAAACTCTTTATATAAAACCAGATGAAATTTGCAGTGAAAAATGTGCCAAGTTCCCTGAAATACAGCCATTCCAATATAAAGTTGTAGGAGATGAGAAAAACTCAAAACCATCCCTCTTCCCAGAATTATTTAAGAGAGAAGACCTAAAACCCAACGTCCAAAAAGAAAGAGACTGTGTCGCCAGACCAAAAAAGTCATTTAACAAGATAGTCAAGATATTACCAACCACACTGCCCGCCACAAGAATTCATCTAAAGAAGTCTGTTCCAAGGACACGGCTTCACTGGACTGCAAGAACCGCTATACATGTAACAATGTTTTTTAAAGTCTTCTACTTCTGTGTTTGGCAAAGTTCTAGAAATAATTTACTTTAGGGTGTATATATCTGCATCCAAGTGTGTGTATTCCCTTAATTACCCCAACACATAGAGACCTCCAATTTAAAAATTCCTCTGAAATTTAAATATCACCTCACCTGATTCAAAATACAATCACAAAATCCGGGGGACTGTTAACACACCTACTGCCTTTTTATGAAATAAATGGTGGCACCCCCCACCCTCCACTGTCTGGGACATGAATTAGAAAAAGGTGCCCTCTTCCTCTGGGCATATTCTCCCAGCTGACACCCAAGAGCCAGATCACGCAGCCCTGATTGTGGAAAACTGGCTAGATTTTAGCCCTTACTAAAATTAGTACAACCATTGGCTGTGGCCAGATACTGTGGAAACATAGCTGAGATTTTCTTTTCATAGAGATATAACTACAACTATTAGTTTTTTTTTCCACATAGCTGAATTATCTTTGTTTCAGTTAAATAAATATGAAGCTCCTATATGCCAGTTATCTGGCTAAAAATTAGGGATATGCAAAATTTACAATCCATTGGATTATGAATTGCAAAAATTTACCTTCTAGTCTGTTTTCACCACCATGCTGCATCATGTGCTGAGAAACTTAAGAATTCAAATATATTTTTAATATTAACATAAAACAATTAGGAGGCCAGGAATAGAGTGGCTCACGCCCATAATCCCAGCACTTTGGGAGGGTGAAGCAGGTGGATCACTTGAGGCCAGGAGTTCAAGACCAGCCTGGCCAACATGGTGAAACTGTCTCTACTAAAAATACAAAAATTAGCTGTGTGTGGTGGTGCACATCTGTAATCCCCGCTACTTGAGAGGCTGAGGCAAGAGAATTGCTTGAACCCAGGAGGCAGAGGTTGCAGTGACCCAAGATCACACCACTGTACTCCAGCCTGGGCAAAAGAGCAAAATGAGTCTAAAAAAAAAAAAAAAAAATTAGGGAAGCAAATCTACGACAAGATTTTATAGAAATTATTCTAAAGCAAATTTAAAATCTAGGAATGGAAGAGATTTTTAATTTTCTGAATCACTGGTCTTCCCTATTAGTATACATAACAGGCATGACCCATAATTGGAAAAACCCCTAAGTAAATATGAGTAAGTAAAACTCATATTAAATTGACACTTTGATGTGCATAATTCTACTTTGAGAAAATCTTATTTCTGCATAGTTGCTTTGAATTTTCCACAGTAAAGCAAACTATTAGCTTTATAGTAGGAGGGTAAATATTATATAGCTATATATTATACACACTATTATACAGCTAAATATTAACTATATAGTGGCAGGGTATAAATATCAGCTTACACTCTCAATTTTGGATTTTTCTATCTAAATTCAGAAATAGTATTGAGAAGGGTGAGTGTGTGTGTGTGTATATACATGCATTTATCTACACACTTGGAAAAAAACGTCAAAGATGGGTTCATAGTTTTTGGAGAGGATTTCCTGAATTTAGACAAATGGAATCTTTAATACAACTTTTCAAGCAAAATAAGAAATTGTGTTTATGTTAAATGATATAAGATCTCAGAACCCTTGTCCTAAGAGCAGGCAAGGGAGATAGAGTTATTTTTATTTCTCAGTTAAACCAGCTGTTTCTAAACTTTCTAGTGAAGTTGACAATAGATAATTAAGTGGTAAGAGGGCATTTCTCAGATGATCAGAACGACTTACTCATCTGATTTTCTAAAATCCAGGAATCTCCCAAAGGAATCAAGACAGAAGAGAGAGAAATTGAGTGGTAGGAGCACTTAGAAAAGTGACCAGTGACCTGGGTCTCCAGTAATCAGTTATATCAGCTGTGAAGGGAAATTATATATTACTCACTAACATAAATTCTCTAGTTGTGGCTTACCTAATTGTCCTGTGTACATAAGGGGGAAGAGGAAGAATGTTTTCTTGCCTTCTCCAAACTCAGGCAAAAATGTGAAATAGATAGAATTTATCTTTAGATTCCTTGTACATTCTTTTTTGTAAATCTTTTTCTGACTGCCCTAATTCTTTTTAGTCCTGCCCAACGTTCCCTGACCTCCAATTCTATTAATGCATTCCCACCTGTGTTCAAATCAAAGCAACCCATGTTCTTGGTGTGGCTATCTTTGCAAAGTGTTATGGGATGAGCTGCTCAAACTGCTGAGGAAATTGTTTACTCTAATTTGAGGATAACTAATAGATTCATACCTTTTTAGGGTTACTTGTAAATTACTTTTATTATAAAATATAGCTATCTTATAGAAAATTTTAAAAATTATTTATTATGGTATATATCTTTCCAGCTATTTTACTGAATGTTTTACTTGTTTACTCAGAGTATACATGTAATTTTATTCCTTTTAATGTAAACATTACAATCATATTCTTGGATGCAGCACTCTCTCTCTCTCTCTCTGCACGTATAAAAGTTAACTAAAGAAGGTTAAAGTTTGGATGATATAAAAAGTAAAATATAAGAGTTCATAATTTATATTTGGGATCAGGGGAGAGAGATTTTGGTGGAGAGAAATCACAAAGTAGTCTGGCCAGCATCGTCTAGAAGTCTGACCCTTGAAGACTGCTCTCAAGTTTTTTGGGTTTCCAGCTTCTTATCTAAAATATCTTTTGAAATAACAAATCTTTGTAACAGTAAAATATCTTTAAAGCATGGTTTCTAGCACAGTATCTAATGGAAGGCATCAGGTGTAGGGTCTGAATTTAGAGACTGCCTAAGAAACAGTCATTGTTTTCATTCTTTAACTGTTGCTATTATAAACTTTAGTCTTTGTAAATTTTTTATTTTCTTTTGTCTTTTGACCATCTATGTCAGACGTCCTTGTATATTTAAAACCTACTTTTAAGAAGCCTAATTTACCAATCTGATCTTTTATTTTATTATTTAGGATTGTTCGGATAAATTCGAGGATTTACATAACATTACCTCACTTACACATCTTAAAAAAGTAAAATCAAGATCAAGGCTTTCAGGAAAAAGCTCAGATGATATCCACAATCATGCAAAAAACTCTGCAAGACCATATACTGCTCCAGAGGTTAACAAGCGACGAGAAAGAGAAGGCTACAATGGAAAGTTTACAAATCGTCAAATGGTTTCATCAGGCTTAGTTAACATAAATGATACATCAGATTATGAATTGCATAAAATGCGGCCAAAAAAAATCAAAAGAGGATATTGAAAAATGTTCACTCATTTTTGATATTACAAAATGTGCTTAACTCAGAATGATGTGTGAGGCACAGTCAGAATATCATTTCTCCATTAACAAAATGGTTTGGAGATCTCTTCTTTTGTGTGACAGAAGTCAGCAACCAAATTTCATCTTGTTAGAACCATTTTGTTTTGATTAAAATGAAAACAAACACATTTGATGTTAAATGTGTTTTTGTTCATGAACCTTAGGGAACAAACCCAGAAATACATATTCAATTTATATTCATTAACAAAGTTTTATTTCTCAGTTTTTCACACCTTTTCCACTATATAATATCACTCCAATTTGTATATGATTCTCCAACCTTTGTTACATTGTAAATTATCCCTTTCTACCTAGTTTTCAGGTGATTTGCAGTTATCAATGTGTGCAGCCTTTTGTTATGAACATATGCTTCAGGCCAGGTGCCATGGCTCATGACTGCAATCCCAGCATTTTGGGAGGCCAAGGCAAGTGGATGGCTTGAGTCTAGGAGTTCTAGACCAGCCTGGGCAACATGGTGAAACCCTGTCTCTACAAAAATTACAAAAAAAACAAAAAACAAAAAACAAACAGCTGGGTGTGGTAGCATGCCTGTGATCCCAGCTACTCAAGAGGCTGATGTGGGAGAACCACCTGAGCCTGGGAGGTCAGGGCTGCCGTGAGCTGTGAGGGTGACAACGATCTCAGGAAAAAAAATAAAATAATATATAAATAAATAAATAAATATATATATATATATTTCATTTCTAATTATATTTCCGGATTCAACAGTTTGTAATTCTCTGGACTTTATACTCTTTCATTAAATTTTTTTGAGACAGAGTTCTTGCTATGTTGCCCAGGTTGGTCTCAAACTCTGGGCTCAAATGATCCTCCTGCCTCAGCTTGCCAGGAAACTTGAGATTTACAACTGTATGCCACCACTCCCAGCTGAACTTTTATTCATTTTAACATCATCTGATATTGCATCTTTTTACACAATAAAATTAAGACTATATTTCATATTAATTCCTGAAGCATCTCTTACACAACAGTGACTTTCTTTTTATATATTTATTTTTTAAATTATACTTGGAAGTTCTGGGGTACATGTGCAGGACATGCAGGTTTGTTACACAGGTATACACATGCCATGATGGTTGCTGCATCCATCACCTGTCATCTACATTAAGTATTTCTCCTAATGCTATCTGTCCCCTATGCCCTCATCCCCAGGCCCCCACCCCCCTCCGACAGGCCACAGTGTGTGATGTTCCCCTCCCTGTGTCCATGTGTTCTCATTGTTCAACACCCACTTATGAGTGAGAACATGCGGTGTTTGGTTTTCTGTTCTTGTGTCAGTTTGCTGAGAATGATGGCTTCTAGCTTCATCCACGTCCCAGCAAAGAACATGAACTTATCCTTTTTTATGGCTGCAGAGTATTCCATGGTGTATATATGCCACATTTTCTTTATCCAGTCTATCATTGATGGGCATTTGGATCGGTTCCAAGTCTTTGCTATTGTTAACAGTGTCACAATAAATGTATGTGTGCATGTCTTTATAATAGAATGATTTATAATCCTTTGGATATATACCCAGTAATGGAATTGCTGGGTCAAACGGTATTTCTAGTTCTAGATCCTTGAGGAATTGCCACACTGTCTTCCACAATGGTTGAACTAATTTACGTTCCCATCGACAGTGTAAAAGCATTCCTACTTCTCCACATCCCTTCCAGCATCTGTTGTCTCCTGATTGTGTTAATGATCACCATTCTAATTGGTGTGACATGGTATCTCAATGTGGTTTTGATTTGCATTTCTCTAATGACCAGTGATGATGAGCTTTTTTTCATGTTTGTTGGCTGTATAAATGTCTTCTTTTGAGAAGTGTTTGTTCATATGCTTTGCCTACTTTTTGATGGAGTTGTTTTTTTCTTGTAAATCTGTTTTAGTTCTTTGTAGATTCTGGATATTAGCCCTTTGTCAGATGGGTAGATTGCAAAAATTTGTTCCCATTCTGTTGGTTGCTGGTTCACTCTAGTTTCTTTTGCTGTGCAGAAGCTCTTAATTAGATCCTATTTGTCTATTTTGGCTTTTGTTGCCATTGCTTTTGGTGTTTTAGTCATAAAGTCCTTTCCATGCCTATGTCCTGAATGATATTCCTTAGGTTATCTTCTAGGGTTTTATGGTGTTAGGTTTTACGTTTAAATCTTTAATCCATCTAGATTTAACTTTTGTATAAGGTGTAAGGAAGGGATCCAGTTTCAGTTTTCTGCATATGGCTAGCCAGTTTAACCAATACCATTTATTAAATAGGGAATCCTTTCTCCATTGCTTTTGTCAGGTTTGTCAAAGATCACATGGTTGTAGATGTGTGGTATTATTTCTGGTGCCTCTGTTCTGTTCCATTGGTCTATATCTCTGTTTTGGTACCAGTAACATGCTGTTTTGATTACTGTAGCCTTGTAGTATAGTTGGAAGTCAGATAGCATAATGCCTCCAGGTTTGTTTTTCTTCTTCTTCTTTTTTTTTTTTTTTTTTTGGCTTAGGATTGTCTTGGCTATGCAGGCTGTTTTTTTGGTTCCATATGAAGTTTAAGGTGTTTTTTTCCAATATTGTGAAGAAAGTCAATGGTAGTTTGATGGGGATAGCATTGAATCTCTAAGTTACTTTGGGTAGTGTGGCCATTTTTATGATAGATTCTTCCTAAACATGAGCATGGAATGTTTTCCCATGTTTGTAGCTCTCCTTGAAAAGGTCCTTCACATCCCTTGTTAATTGATTTCCTAGGTATTTTATTCTCTTGTAGCAATTGTGAATGGGAGTTCACTCATGATTTGGCTCTCTGTTTTTCTGTTATTGGTGTATAAAAATGCTTGTGATTTTTGCACATTAATTTTGTATGATGAGACTTTGCTGAAGTTGCTTATCAGCTTAAGGAGATTTTGGGCTGAGATGATAGGGTCTTCTAAATATACAATCATGTCATCTGCAAATAGAGACAATTTGACTTTCTCTTTCCCTAACTGAATACCCTTTAATTATTTTTCTTGGCTGATTGCTTTGGCCAGAACTTCCAATACTATGTTGAATACGAGTGGTGAGCAAGGGCATCCTTGTGTTGTGTCAGTTTTCAAAGGGAATGATTCCAGTTTTCGCCCATTTAGTATGATATTAACTGTGAGTGAGTAAATCTAGAAGAAATGGATAAATTCCTGGACACTTACACCCTCCCAAGACTAAACCAAGAAGTTGAATCCCTGAATTGACCAATAACAAGGTCTGAAATTGAGGCAGCAATTAATAGCCTGCCAACCAAAAAAAGTCCAGGACCACATGGGTTCACAGCCAAATTCTACCAGAGGTACAAAGAGGAGCTGGTACCATTCCCTCTGAAACTATTCCAAACAATAGAAAAAGAAGGAATCCTCCCTAACTTATTTTATGAGACCACCATCATCCTAATACTAAAACCTGGCAGAGACACAACTAAAAAAGAAAATTTCAGAACAATATCCATGATGAACACTGATGTGAAAAATCATCAATAAAATACTGGCAAACCGAATGCAACAGCAGATCAAAAAGCTTATTTATCACAATCAAGTTGGCTTCATCCCTGGGATGCAAGGCTGGTTCAACATATGTAAATCTATAATCCATCACATCAACAGAACCAAAGACAAAAACCACATGATTATCTCAACAGATGCAAAGAAGTCCTTCAACAAAATTCAACAGCCCTTTATGCTAAAAAGCTCTCAATAAACTAGGTATTGATAGAACGTAACTCAATATAACAGAGCAGTCACTTTCTAAGTTACTCATACAACTGTGAAATGGCCTTTTGAGTAACACCATACTGAGGAAAGTGCATAGAATTGTAGAAACTGAATAAAATATAATCTAGCTGAATCAACACAGAATTTAAATCAGAGACTTCTGAGGATTGGTTCCATTTCTTTATAAGTACAGTATTTGGATTTTGTTGAACTTTGATACAGTCTTAAAAAGCAAAAACTTCGATTTACAGAATTTTTGTTTCTATTTTTCTACCACAAGTTATAAAGACTATGGGGTTTAAATAGAACTGACTGATAGAAAACATAATTCCTGATCATTCATTCAATGTTATAATAAGGATAATTTTTTATAGGGACTAAGAATTTCCAGTAATCCTCAAAGTTGTCCATACTTAGTCAGCATGTAACTGGGAAAACACAAATAACTCCAGCTCTTTCAAGTAGAAGAAATACAGGAGTTGGTTTTGTAGGTGATGGAATCAAGGCTAAGAGGCAAAAAGAGATGTTGAAGCAATCCAGAAATTAGCAAGAGTGGGAAGTGCTACCGCCATTCAGATGGAAGGGACTGCAGGAGGAGCTGGTGCTACCAGAGTTCTTGAAACTAGAGACAAAAATGCCACCGCCACTGCCAGGGATACTAGAAGCAGACAGGGAGGGGGCAAATGATGAGAAATGCCGTATTTTGCCTCTCTTTTCCTGCTCTCTGATCTTCCACTATCGCCTCCCTGGGAAACAGAGATTGAGGGTATATGGGAAACATAGATCTCAGTGAAGCAGAAAAGGCAGAGAGTGGAGAAATGAACTTGACAGTTAATAGGCAATTGGCCAACAGTACTTATGAAGGAAACCATTGATCTGGCTTGCAGTAAAGGACAAAATATTTACTAGATAGAAATCTCTAATCTCTTTGCCTCATTAAATTATTTAGTGGCAATATTGTGACAAGCAAAGAATTAAAAACTTCTTACCTTGGAAATCTCTTAAAATTTTTTTCAAAAGTCTTTTTAATTCAAATACTTTATTCAAGGAAGAATTCAATAAAAAATAAACATCTACAATATGCCAGACAGTTTTACTAAACAGTAATATGCCAGTGAATAAGACAATATTCCCAAGAAGTCCACAGTCCACCGGGAACATAAACACAGAATTCATTAGAGTTGTGTAAGTGCTTTTTGAGGAAGGTACTACAGAAGCTCATAGGAGAGTACTTTAGCTAAAGTGGCTGCTAGTTTGGGTCCTTTAAAAAGCAGACACCAAGATGAGATTAGACATGTGGTAGTCTGTCATGACCCCCACTAATGTGTCCATGTCCTAATCCCAGGAACCTGTGAATATTACCTTATGTGATGAGAGGTTTTTGCAACTGTGACTAAATCATA